AGTATTCTTTCTGTCAGTTGATGCTGTAGCAGAGGAAGCATTTCCCGTGGCATTTCCCGCAAGAAAATGGCCACGATAGTCCCTCCTCAGCCTCCAAATGACCCGGACTTGGAGGTGAAGGTCAAGAAAGGTAGGTGTGACGTGCCTTTTCCTGGGGGACTTTCTCTGCTGGGAATCTGTTTTTCGTGAATTTCAGTTCCGTTAAGAGTGTGTTGTTTGTGGAAAGCTCATCTTGAACTCGCAAACAATATTTTACAAAGCCATTCACAAGTTTTAACAGAATTAAATTTTTTAGGTTTGCTTGGAAGAAATATATATTGATGTACCTTCTCTGCTTGTGTTCATATTTGCTTATGAAACAGAGTTAGATATTTGACTTGCTTTTGGCTGTTAAGAATATTCAGCAAGACATGTATCTGTCTTGACTCTAATATTTCTTTTATATTTTGCTAGACAGGTAAATTTAGTCATAATAAAACTATATCTCCTTATGATTCAATGGCCAATACACCTGTCCACACCCTAGCTCTGGAACGCGTGAGTGAGAACATCCACATATCTGCCAACGAGCCATCGCTAGCCGTGTACCGTCTCCAGGAACATGTCCGGCGCGCCCTTCCACCCACAGTGTCGCGAAGGCAGCACGTGACTGCCCTCCACTCGCAGCTTCAGGGAGCATGCTATGATGTTGAGTATGCTCTAGGGTAGGTATATAAGTAGTAGTAGTAGTAGTTTTAGTAGTAGGACGTAGTTGGATGAAGAAATAGTCAAAATGAAAGATTAGAATTTCAAGAAGAAATACGGGACTATTTTCTATCATGTTTGTATTAAAATGCACTCCTATAAGCTTATCTTTTGTAGTTTTTACATTAAAGAGAGTCCTTTCATTTCATGATAAAGTATCAGTTACTTTCACTATACCTCTAAAAGAGTGGTTTATAACTTTATCACCACACCAGCCCATAGTGATTGGTCTTTGCCTCCAATCCCCTCCCCCCCCTCTCACATCAATTGAATGATTAAATAACCCTCCAAGGCTGAAAAGAACTAAAGAATACATGTTATAAGTCAATATAGACATCACTCACATACACAGCAGTATATGTTACTAAAGAGTCACACTGTATGACATCTAATCATGTCATGTCAAACCAGACCTAAATTCTGTTGGCAGTAGAAATTACTCTTAGTTGTGTGTGTGCAAAATAGTTTTTTGCAGCCACTGAAAAGTTGGCTTAAAGTCTTTATAGCCACATGTGGTTTAGCCACAGGCATAAAGAGTAGAGTAGATGTATGATTTTTCACTCAAGTGGATGACTTTGCTCAAATGAATATAGAAGAATCCCTACATTTTACCTCCTGGCTTGTTTTTCTAGGAAGCTCACAAATAGTAAAAGTTTGACATTTCATATATAAGTGTATGTGTGTGTGTGTGTGTATATATATATGTATATATATATATATATATATATATATATATATATATATATATATATATATATATATATATATATATATATATATATATATATATATATATATATATATATATATATATATATATAGTTCTTTATTATACTTTGTTTTCCTTATGTATATAACTTATGGCACCTGTTTATCATTGAAAATTAGAAAAATAGCATAACTTGTTAACAGCACCCAGGGCAAAATTAAAACCTTTGGTAACTTAACCTTTGACTTTTGCTGCGCCAGGGCCGTGCGCAGCATGCACGACGCGAGTGAGAAGTTCTCGTCCCTGCAGGAGCTGCTAAAGAGTGCCATTTTCCACCGCCAGCAGCTGAAGTATGAGCAGACCCGCAGGTGAGCCAGTCGGGGGGGGGGGTTAATTGTCTTTTGTTTTTGTGTTACTGCTTTTCTGAATTGTTATTGCTAGTTCTTGGAGAGTTGTTTAGAAAGAAAGAAAGAAAAAAGAGGAAAAAAAAAAAAAAGTGAGTGAAACAAAATATTTTATAATGTTAGGGAAATGGTCTCAAAAAAAAAAAGTGAGTGAAACAAAATATTTTATAATGTTAGGGAAATGGTCTCTGTTATACATAGATTGAATAATGTTTCTCTTTTTGCAAATCATGTCCCTTTTCATTTGTTTATTTATTTATTTATTTATTTGTCTTTGTTTTCCTTTTGTCTGTTTTGTTAGTTTGTTTTGAATTTGCATTATTTCTTCAGACACTTTTTTTTTTTTTTTTTTTTTTTTTTTTCCTTGAATGACATTTTTCTCATTTTGTTTCTTTTTTTTTCTTTCTTTCTTTCTTTTTTTTACTCAGAATTTAAGTTCCACAAAGAAAAAAAAAAGAAAAAAAAGAAAAAGCAATGTTCGCACTTACTCTCTCTCTTTAAGTGTATCTTTACAATCTGGACTTAACTGGAGATAAATTGCCGTAATCCCTCGCACAAAAACATGATACGATGCGTAATGCCTACCACAGCGTATATTTTTGGCCACCTTCCCTCGGTCGTTGTGCCAGACCACGACACTCCTTCGCTGTTATTTGGGCAGATGGGAAAAGGCAGAAACTTTTGTCCAGTCTCTCTGGACATGTCAACAGAGCAATTGGCTTTCCCTCGTTTCATTTCACTGTTTTGGTTAATATAGGACTTCATATGTGTAAGATTGCATTGCTGATGACTAAATGCTGGTTACAGAAATACACAGACACCCCAGATAGTAAAATGGTAATGAGATAATAGTAATAGTAATATATTAAAAAAAGGAAAAGAAATTAAAATGATAAAAAGAATCCTGGTGTCCAAAACCATCACTCGTTACTTATGACAATTCAAATCGCAGGAACTTCATGGATATGCCTTGTTTTATGTGGTGGTGGCACTTTAATTCGGTATTCTTGATATAAGAAATTCCCAGTTTCTCTGAATAAATCTTGCTCAGAAAGAGGCTCACTTGTCATGAACGTCATTGATGCTGGGAGGTCGATGTATCTAGTATAAAGTATAAGTGCCAATGAGATGGCATGCAATCAGCCAAGGTCAGAGGTCAGGTGTTGGGATAGAGGTAAATGTACTAAATGAGATAGATGCTTTAAAATCTCAGCCATATGAGTTAGTCTCAGAAGAAAACAAAATCTTAAATACATAAAGAATTGTGATGATGAGAAAAGAATAATGCTAAGATTAAGAATAATGACTGCTAGGAAAAAAAATCAAACAATTTTAAAAACACGCATCTCTTCAGTAAAGGGGTATACAACACCTGGGGTCTTCTAACTAAACTATTTATGTTCAATTTTTATAGGTAAATAGATATCTATGTTGGTTACATTTTTTTGTGATCCAGAACGATGTATATACGTATATGTACACATTTACATATATGTGTTGCAATACATTGATATGTAAAAAATCATTTTTATTTTTTTGGCTTTGAATAGTCAGTTGGTATACCTAGTGCCTCATGCAAATTATTTTGGAATTTGCACATATACAAAGGCATTCTGGCATTTCTTATTATGTGTGTCCAACACTGTGTAAAATTGGATATTTTCATGCTTTTCCTCATATTACTATTATTCTTGTTGTTTAGCTGCTTGTTTTCCAGGCAGTTCTGTCTAAATTTAATTCATTTTAGATTTTCTGTGATAAAAAAATATATATGCAGAAAACAGAGTAAATTATCAGTATAAAGTTAGAAATCCATGTTACTGTCTCATTTTCTCCCCAATTTAAGTACTTTATTTAGAGGAATAACTACAGTCAGGATCTCAGACTGCCCCATCAGGAAATTCTATTTTTGTACATTTGTCAGTTTGTTTTTATCAGACCTCACTGATGTGGTCCTCAGAGTGACTAAATCATTGGAAAGAGGTTTATTTTAAACAGAATCATTTTGAAATATAATAGCTCATAGATAAGTACGCACTCCTGAATGTTCATGTTTAACTAGCTTCCTAAGTGGCTGCCGAGGCTATGTGCGAGTCACCAGCTCTCCATTCTCCCAGACCGGCACGCATTCAGGTTGACTCTGGTGAAGCTGGATTCAACGGGAACTCAAGAAGGTCCCACCCTGCCACTCCCCCTGCAGTGGGCTAGGACCTATGGCCATTTAAACCCCTGCCAGACCTTTAAGTCATATGCTGTGGTGAAAATACTGCTTGGAGAGCGTTTCTCAATTTTCAGCCCAGTTTTGCAATTTGATTATACCCTCCCTCCCAGATACCTTTAAGCCCTTAATTATTTGAACTGAAATAGAAGCTACAACATGATCTGCAAAGAATTGTTTTACCAGTAATTTTCTGCCTTTACAAGTGTGCTGTGTGTGTGTGTGTGTGTGAGTGTGTGTGTGTGTGTGTGTGTGTGTGTGTGTGTGTGTGTGTGTGTGTGTGTGTGTGTGTGTGTACGTGTGCGCGCATGTGCATGTGTGTGTGTGTGTGCATGCGTTTGCGTGCGTGCTTGTGTGTGTGTGTGTGTGTGTGTGTGTGTGTGTGTGTGTGTGTGTGTGTGTGTGTGTGTGTGTGTGTGTGTGTAGGTATGTTTGTGTGATTATATCCCACTTACATGGACCTCTCCACTGGCACCTAAAACCGACCTTCCTTCTCCTAGGTGTGGCTCCAAAGGCGCACCCAGTAGTGCATGTGATTCTGTGAGTAGTGCGCCCAGGAAGCAAGAGCATCAAGGCCTCCCTTAGCCTTCGTTTTGACCTCCGTTTGGCAGCTTTATCTTTCTTTGTGTGGCAGGGCATGAGCACAAGGAAATGTCTTGAGGAGGCTGTTGCAGCTTTTTTTTTTTTCTTTCTTTCTTTTCTTTCCCCTTTTTTCCGTTCTCTTTTTTGTCTTTCTTTTTTTCTTTTTTCCTTTCTCTTTTTTGTCTTTCTTTTTTTCTTTTTTCCTTTTTTTATATTGAAATATAGGGAAATAGTTATGTGTACTAGCTAGTACAACTTTCCTTCTTTCTTTTTTTTTTGGTGTATGTGTGTGTGTGTGTGTATGTATGTATGTGCATGTGTATGTATGTGTATGTATGTATGT